AAACTACTCTACAGGAATTGGCAGTTGTGAGGAAACAGGGCTATGAAAAGGCCATGGCATGTAAGGTTCAGTCAATGACTAACCCTGGACACTGGTAAATTCATAATGTACAACAACTCTCTTTGTGATCCAAGTGCATTAGTTTATTTATTTTTCTTATGGGAACTGGAGGTATCTTGTTTGACGAAGTTCACAATTTCCAATATCTCAAAATCACCTCAAAGCATTCTCATAATTTAAATAAATAATGAATCTGAACAGAGGAGATGTAAATATGACCTCAGAAGGGTCCACTTACTGAGAAAATCTCAGTAATTACTTAAACATGGATGAAAGTTCAGGTCATTAGCTTCACATGGGTTAATATTCACAAACTACAAATTTATGAAATCATGCAGAAACTCATCTCTAGATATCAACTTAGACTCTCTCATATGTTTTCTTCTTCCATCCAGCACTCTAGCATTACATTTTCTGAATTGATTCTAAAAGTAATTGCTTAACTTGAAATATTAATTCATATTTTTTAAGCAGTTAGAGCAATACAATAGAGTTTTGATATGGAAATCATTTGCCAAATATTACAGAGTTAGATGAAGCAAAAAGAAGCTTAAAATACAAGTTGAAATGTGCTTAGACATCATATTACACAGTAATCTTGAAAGATCTTGGTGACATCAAAGTCAGGTTTTCTTTCTTACTTGTATTCTTGTCACTTTATCACATTCTATAAACCCAAACTCAAAGCTAATGACACAAGAATAAAAAAGGTTTTTCAGTAATGAGATGCCTCAGAGCTATCTTAATTTCTCTGTTCCTCAAACCGTAGATAAAAGGGTTCATCATTTGAGGGATCATAATGTACATCACTGATGCCACTGCATTCTTAGTGGAAGAGTCAGTAACAGCAGGACTGAAGTACACAACAAAAGCTGGTCCATAGAATAAAGAAACAACAGACAGGTGAGACCCACAGGTAGAAAAAGCCTTATACCTTCCCCTCAGTGAGGACATTCTGAAAACAGAGGAGGCAATTTTACTATAAGATACAATAATTCCAGCAATAGGAAAACCAAAGAACATGTTTGCTGCAGAATATATCATAAGGGTGTTTACAAATGTATCAGAGCAGGCAAGCTTGAAGATCTGAGCAAGTTCACAGAAGAAGAGAGGGATTTCCACATTTGTGCAGAAGGACAGCCGCAGCGCCATCAGAGTGTGGAGCAGGGCATGCCCAGTGCTAAGAAGCAGGGAGAGAAGAACAAGCAGGATACAGAAGTCAGGGGTCAGGATGACCTGGTACCTTAGGGGCTGACAAATGGCCACATAGCGGTCATAGGCCATCACTGCAAGAAGACAACTTTCACAACCAGCAAAAGTCAGGACACAGGTGCTCTGAGTGAGGCAGCCAGTGTAAGTGATGCTCTGATCCTGTGCTTGGATGTTCACAAGCATCTTTGGGATGGTGGTCGTGCTTATACAGATGTCGGTGAAGGACAAGCTGGAGAGAAAGAAGTACATGGGGATGTGAAGGTGGGAGTCAGAGCTGACGGTCAGGATGATGAGCAGGTTTCCCAGTATGGTGACCAGATAGATAACCAGGAACAGGCAGAAGATGAGGGGCTGCAGCTCTGGGTCATCTGTCAGTCCCAGGAGAAGAAATCCTGAGATTGTTGCTTGGTTTTTCAATTTCATATTTTTGGTGAAACTGTGGAAGAGATGAGGTGAAAATAAAATGAAACAAGTATTTTGTGGATAAGCTCCAGTATCTTTTGTGGGTGATATAAAGAGAAGTTCTGAGTATTACCCTGGATGTGTGTTATACATGATCTGTGAATGAAGACTTGGATTATATGTTGAGCATACACTATGAGTGAATTAAAAATTTTGGAACTTTTTAAACAGTGTCTTAAAACAAAACAATTTTGAGTCACGATATAAGCCCATGTGAATTTTCAGTTCATTTTCTGATCCCTTTCTTCCTCCACTTCTCTTTTCTAATTTCAACTTCCTTTATTAAACACCCTTGCATTTTCAGAATTGTGACAAGTACTGGGATTGTGAGAAAATATAAGATGTGGATTGCTCTTGATAAATAAATTCTGCCTTGAAACAAAAAGAAACATGACAATGAATTTAGCAAATCTCACTTCCTGAGCAACACTTTTCTATCTTTTTTGACACAAAAGGATGTTTCATTGAGGACAATTTATTCTTAGACTGGGAGGAGGGTAGCTTGGGATGATTCAACCCATTATCTTTACTGTACAATCTTTCTATTGTTATTACATTGTAATGTATAATCACATAGTTTTATAACTCACCACAATTTGGAGTAAGGAAAATAAAATAATGGACAGGCCTCATGCTGACTAAAATAAAGGCTGAATTCTGACATAAAATCCGCCACCACATGCAGTTTAACTGTCACCTGCTGCTCACTTAGAGGGCTTTTATATGATCCTGCAAGCAGTTGATTTATTATGATGTGTGTAAAGTCAAACATCTCTGCTAATTTTAATCCCTATTTGCAGTATGAGCAGCATCACCCCATAACCTCTACCTGAGATCCAGACACATTAGATTCTCTTAGGGAGCACATACATAGATTCTCACATATAAGTAATAGCTAAATGAGAGGAAGAATGAAATTCAAAGACTCTATGAAAAAAGATAAAGAATTGAGATACATCATGTAAGGGTACAAGTTGCCAATCACACATGTAAAATGTATTGTATAACTAAAATGTACCAATAACAATTTGAGAGAAAAAAGATAAAAATATATATAATTTCTTTCTTTGTAGAAGACAGAGACTTAATAAATTAACACAGAGTCAGATAGTCAGGCATCCTAATAGGAGTGTCTCTTGAGAGCATTGCTCTTTACCTCCTGGTGGAGACAGAAGCAGCTACACCAGAAATGGTCATTTGATGTAAAATGAGACCCACCAGCTCTGAATTTAATTCATCCTCCAGCAGGTGTTTTTTAGGTTGTATAAAAATGTCCAACTGCAGTTTTACATTTGTGTAATAGAAACTGCTTAATGGGTGTGTTCTTAGCATGGTGATATTTTACCAATGTGCACTTCCTCAGTGTAAGATATATATGGAAATCTCCATCATGAACAATGCTAATGTCAGTGAAGAATGTATATATTCAAATGCTTTTTGGACTATAATTAAGAAGAAGAATAGGGAAACTCATACCAATGTTTTCCATACTCATATGGTTCTTACATATGCTAAAATACATACACATTAAAGTGAAATTAAATGACAAAATGGTGAGACTTACAATTCATCAATGTAATGAATAACTTAGGAAATATTCTTTGAAAAAATCTACATGACAAAAAAATGAAATTTCATTGAAGCTATGAGTGTTTGCAAATTTTCCATATGGTGTATCCATGCATCACAGAATTTCTTCTGTGTAGGCATCTCTTAGGAAACAACAAAAATATTACATGTTCCACCATGTTTTCCTTCGGTATTTTCTTGTGACAAATAATAACAATCTATTTGAAATCACTTAGAATTGTTCTTTTACAAATTTACAATTCTCTCTGAATTCTCTTTTTTCTAGTATTATTATTCCAAAAAAACCTCTTCATGGTGTTGCATTTTTAAATGTTCACATAGCATAATCACATTGTATATGCATATCATTTACAATTGGTATGATTAACTAATTTTATTTTCCTATTAAATGTTGCCAAATACAGTCCTGCTTTTGATTTTAATTAT